CTCATCCTTCAGAAATACAGGCCAAAGGCAGCAAAGGGCGACGTTCGTGCCCGACTCCCTGGCCGGGACTCAGCCTCCCACTCCCTTGTGGGCCAGGCCGCTGGCTCCCTGCCCGCAGCCAAACCCGTCTGCAGAGTCAGAGCAGCCGCCTGCAAAGTCGGTTACAGACACAAAACTCAGCTCACAGCAGAGGCAAAGGGTCTGTGAGATTTAGAAGTAAAGTCTCTGGGATCTCGGAAAGGACTGGGCTTAAAGAGTCGCAGGCACAAGAGAGAGAGAGGCCCTGCTCATGTCCCTGGGCTGGTGAGCAGGAACAAAACCGGATTCGTTCCGGAAGTCCTGGCCGCACGACTTGGCATCTGGGCAAAGTCCCTTTACAGCCACTTCTGGGGAGCCCATCCCCCTCAGGCCCCTGGCGGCCTGGCCTACTGGGGCCCCAGACGCCAGTCTTCTTTACCAGGGACAATGCTTTGGTGAGACACCAGGGGACAGGGGAGCCAGGCTGTGGGAGACTGCGCCCACTGGAAGAGGTCCGTGTAGGCTGTGGCCACAGGGCAGGACAGGACGATCCCCAGCACAGAGCTCCCACCACAACTCTTGGTGGGACGCCCGGGGACAAGTGGGTTGGACCAGGCGATGCGATACAACAACATAACACAATACAGATTGTGGAGGGCTAATTTTATATTTATTTAATAACACAACTTTAAAAACACAGAGTGCAGCCCCGGCTGGGTGGGTCAGTGGCTAGAGCATTGTCCCATACACCTCCCACCCCCCAAAGAGGGTGAGGGTTCAATCCTAGGCTGCGGATTCCAGCGCTGGTCAGGCACCTATGGGAGACACTCAATTCCTGTCTCTCTCTCACATTGATCTCTCTCTCCCCCTCCCTCCCTCCCTCCCTGACTCTCTCTCTAAAATCAATGAGCATATCCTCAGGTAAGGATTAAAAAAAAAATACAAAGTGCCTTCTACCCTGACTGCCTCCAAATTTAAGACACTGAACTAGGAACAAATGGCCTTCTAACTGCTTTCTCCCATACTGGACACACTGAGACTTTAATCCTTGCCAGAAGCGTACATTTGGTATTGGATTTTCCCAGTGTTACGGGGACACTGTGGGTCACTGGAAGGACTGACCCGAGGGCATCAGTGACAGCAGGGCACGGAAATGTAAACGCGGCCCCAGGGAACGAACGTCACAGGCACCTGCCCCAGCGTTTGCTCAGACGGCAAGCCGGTGATGGAGAAACCTGAAAGGCAGCATGTTCAGATGGCCAAGCATAAACGTTTAAGCTAGGTTTGGACTTGAGGAGTTTTCCCTTTTATTTGTTAACACTCAGAACATCGATTTTAAGTAATTGGTGGTCTCATTTTACACAGTAAGTGAGCACCAGCTTTGGAGTCAGCCTGGGGTTCAAGTTTGGGCTCAGCCAATTAACTGTGACCTTGGCTCAACTCTTTGTATAGCTCAGAGCCCAAAGCCTGTAAAGCATTGTCAATGAACTTGGCTTGTACCAGCGATTCCTTTTCAGTCAGTATCTAATCCCTTGTCTATTCTCCGTGATCACAGCCTAAATGAGTTCAAACCACAGGAACCAGTAATGATCCTGAACAGGGGAACCTTCTCCCTCCCGGCCATCGGAGAGACTGGGCAGCAACAGAACTCTAAGCTGATTGAGGCTCTGCTACCAGTGAGATCATGGAAATGATCTTTCCAAGGGATCGAACGATTTGTCCTGAAAAAGCCGAGAAAATATATAAAAAGGTGGATATTGAAATGAAAATCACAATGAAGGAAACGGGACTTTAAAAAGTGAAAACAGGCAATGTAACACAAGTTCTGTTTCTGAAGCATCTCTGGCATCCGTCCTGCCCTACCGCCCCCACCGCGCCCGCCCCAAGGCCTCCTCGCCTCTCCCAGGGCCCTGCCGCCAGCTGCCCCCGCATCCCCTCCACCCGCTCTCCGCACCGGCATCGGTTCCTGCAGGCAGAGAAGAGGCACGGGCTACAAAACGCCGTGTGTGCCCTTCCATGTGTGTAGAACCACATGCGTGGCTGTGTTCATCTCTCCGGGTGTGTGCAGAAAACCTCATAGAATAAACCCAAAGCGTTCACGGTGCTTCTGTAACATGTGGCCCCTTCTTTTTATAGTTTGGTAGCTATTGAGAATTGGGGAAATATCATTATTAAGGTTGTAATCAGAACAAAATTAAAGCTAGCTATTAAAAAGAAAGCAAGCTTTCAGTGGTACTCTGTTGCCATCAGGATAGTCCAACCTGACAGGTGAGGTCTGCCACCCGTGACCCCAGATCCCTTCTCCAACGCCATCTTCCGACTCCTGTGCTCACCTGAAACACACCAGACACCGTTTCCCCCGAAGTCAGCCTTCACCGCCCAGCTCCTGTCTCACGCCTGCCTCTCGAAGATGTCCCCAGACCTGCTGCAAGTGCCCGGGGCACTCGTTTCATCCGGACACGTTGTGTTTTTCTCTCTTCCGCTAAACAGGAAGCCCTTCAAAGACAGGTGCCTTCTTCCCAGAGTACCTGGCTCACTGCCTTGCACCCAAAGATCATGAATAGATGTTTGTGGAAATAAGTTACAGAAGCGCAGAGGACGACACACTTGGAGCAGGTGTGGAACACTTTAGAGAGGGGGACCTAAAGAAGGGGTGATGTTAGACTAAAATGCCAGTTGGTGGCAGTGATCCTTGCGCGTTAAAGACACGGACATCCTCCGAGGCATCTTCATCATTCACAGGTAGACCGCTTAATATCGCAGGGTGAGCCGCTCCTAAAGTTCTCCTTTAAATGAGAGATGTACCTTCTTGCTTTGCACTTACATACTTAAACTACAAGGACACAATATCGGATTTGCAAAACTAGTTGCCTAAAAATGAAAGCGTTATCAGAAAACAAAAGTAAAAGGCAAATGATGAGTTGGGAAAATATTCACAACACAAATAATAAAGGGGTGGTAACACATACTGTTTTCCCAATTCTCAGTAATTTCCAACTGTAAGAAATTATTAATAAATGGGCAACTAACAAAAGAACAAATCCAAATACATAATACATAAGAGGGGGAAAGCTTATTTTATTAGTAATAAAATGGAAACTAGAGTGAGATAACACTTTTTTTTTTCAAATTGACAAATTAAAAAATACCGCTCAGTGCTGGGGGCGAAAGGCAAGGTGTTTTCACGGGGCCGTAACTTTCCTGGAAAACAATTTAGCAATAAGTTTTACAAACAATTAATTCCCATTGGCTCAGTAATTCCACTAATAGGATTCTGTCCTAAGGAATTGATTTAAAAAATGTGCACACAAAGTTTTATATATAAGCAGCACCGTTCATAAGAATTAAAAACTAGAAACAGTACAGACTTTTAACTATGAGAAAACAAAGACTGATACTATGTTTATGCAATGCTTGCACTGAAAATCATATATGTATATGTTTAAATTTTATTTATTTTTAGAAAGAGAGGAAGAGAGAAACATCCATGTGTGGTTTTCTCCTGTGCGCCCCCCACAGGGGACCCGGCCCACAACCCAGGCACGTGCCCTGCCTGGGACTCCAACTGATGACCCCTCGGTTCGCAGGCCGGCGCTCAGTCCACTGAGTCACACCAGCCAGGGCTGAAAAATCATATATTCTTAAAAGAGTATTGCCACTGGGGGAAATGCTTGCAATAAAATTTAAAGTGGGGAGAAAAGATGAAATCATAGGCATTCTGGAAACAGGCCTGAAGACAGAGATGGCCTCTGGGAGTGAGGGAAGGGGGGATCTTTCTCATTTTATCGTTCTTTTCTTCTGTTCAACAAGTAATAACAACAGTAGTGGCTATGAGTCTGGTGATCATTTGAATGTTTCCTGTGGGCCAAGCACCGTTCTTGTAGGTGTTTTGTGTTTATCTTCTCACTTAACTCTACAACTGCCCCGTGAGGTAGGCACGACACTATTCTCGTTGCCCTTGACAGAGAAGCAAGCTGATGCACAGAGGGGTCAAGCCTAAGGCGCAGCTAGGATCCAAGCGTGGAATTTTGACTCCCGAATCTTGCTCTCTCTAACTGTAGTACTGAGGCATGGCACCTCCGGTTATATATTTATAGTACTGTATTTGTAAATTAAGAAATTGGTCCCACCTTTGTCCTGGTGGTTCCTCCTCCTCCCCCACGCCCCAGCCCCAGCTACATAACCGTCCGATCTCTTCAAGTTTGTGCTTCACGGTGACCTGCACAAGGAGTCCTACCCTGAGCACACGGTTCGGAACCGCAGCCTGCCCCTCCTCTGTTTTACTCTGCTTTATCGTTCGCACAGTGGATATCTGGCATAACATACAGCTTTCAGAATCGCGGTGTGATTCCGTGCACCTCCCCACCCCCACCCCCACCAGGTGAGCTCCCTCTGGGGTCAGGCGTTGCCATCTGTCCTGCTGCCCGGTGGATGTGTCAGAACCTGGAAAGGTGCTGGCACAAACAAGGTCCTCCGCGTACATTTGCGGATTAAGTGAAGTTTTAAAAATGCAGAACAATTCCAATTTCACATTCTGATTTTAAAGCATAAACGTGTGTGCCATGTACGGGGAGAATAAAATATTGCAAAACGTTAATGGTGATTTCAAGGGATATTTTTTTCTTCATTATGTTTTCCTGTGGTTTTATTCCGATGTGAAAATGTATTATTTTATCATGAAAACATTGCTTTTTAAAATGTCTCTTCTAAACCTCGGGTGACATACACTGCCACGCGCAGCTAATATCTTTGCTGTAAATCGCAGGGAAGGCATTTGACTACTGGGGAGGCACTGATGGTCTTTAAGGATATGATGCTTTTAAGTAATCGCCCAGTATTTTGTGGTGGTTAAATATTTCTTAAAGGAATAAAATCCTAGACTCGTGAGTCGACCGCGGCACCCCTGGGGAACACACCCACCTAGCAACGGGAGCCGAGCTGCAGCCTGGCGCTGCGCCTTTAATTCCCGGGTTGGGGTGGGGCGCTGGTGGAGAATTTCCGCTCCCCCAGGCCTTGGTGGCATCTGTCACCTGTAAAGCGAGCACCGAACGCGGGGGATGGAGCCCGGCGCCCATTGGACAAAGTATAAAGGCAGAAACCTACCCCGAGGACTGGGGACCGGCGAACCGGCGGTGGTGGGCGCGCGCCGCGGCCCCCGTGCCTTTCCCCCCCGCAGGCTCCCAGGCTCTGCGGCGCTGACTTGACCGCGGTCCAGCTTCGGCCACAGGCCCTCCCGGCCTCGGTGGAACGACCAGGTGAGCCTGGCCGAGGCGGGCGCCGGGCGGAGGCCGCTGGGAGGGGCGGCCGGGCTCCCCTGCCGGGCGCACCTTGGCCATGGCCCTCGCCGCGGCGGCGGCCGCTGCGGCCGCGGGGGTGAGCCAGGCGGCGGTGCTGGGCTTCCTGCACGAGTGCGGCGGGAAGGTGCGCAACTCCGAGCTGTTGAGCCGCTTCAAGCCGCTGCTGGATGCGGGCGACCCGCGCGGCCGCGCCGCCCGCAGGGACCGCTTCAAGCAGTTCGTCGACGACGTGGCCGTGGTGAAGGAGTTCGACGGCGTCAAGTTCGTGGTGCTGAGGAAGACGCCGCGGCCCCGAGAGGGCCCGGAGCGCCTGCCCTCCTGCGTTTCCAGCCCCGCCGAGCCGCCGGCCCAGCCACCAGAGACCAGGTCCCTCTCTCCCGTGGAACCCGCTGCCTCCGGGGCTCCCTCCTTGGCCTCGGGGCAGCCGTCGGTGGATGCACCTGGGGACCCGGACCCTCCGTCGGAGCCACAGGACATTCCTGGGGCGCCGGCCTCTGAGCTCACTCAGCCGACTGGGGAGCCTTTGTTCAGCCCCCCGACCCAGCAGTCAGGGGAGCTGTCCGACCCGGGGCTTCCAGCCTTGGAGCTAGCCCACCCCTCCGGGGACCTCTCTGCAGACGCGGCCCCGGGGTCTGGGGCACCGTCTGAGGCGGCCTTAACCCACGCAGCGCCGCCTGACCCGGAACACGGGCCTGGGGCGACAACAGGGCCGCCGCCACCCCCGGGACGCGCGCCTCCGCAGAAGCCCTGCATGCTGCCCGTGCGCTGCGTCCCGGGCCCCGCGGCGCTCCGGATCCGAGCCGAAGAGCAGGGCCTGCGCCGGCAGCTGTCGGAGGAGCCCAGCCCGCGGAGCTCCCCGCCCCTGCTACGGCGGCTCTCGGTGGAGGAGTCCGGCCTGGGCCTCGGCCTCGGCCCCGGCCTGGGCCCGGGCCGCTCTCCGCACCTGCGGCGCCTGTCGCGGGCCGGCCCGCGCCTGCTGAGCCCGGACACCGAGGAGCTGCCCGTCGCGCCTCCGCCGTCAGCCGTGCCCCTGGAGCCGGCCGAGCACGAGTGGCTAGTGCGGGTGGCCAGTGGCCGCTGGACCCACCAGCTGCACGGGCTGCTGCTGCGCGACGGCGGCCTGGCCGCCAAGCGCGACTTCATGTCTGGCTTCACCGCCCTGCACTGGGCCGCCAAGAGCGGCGACCGCGAGATGGCCCTGCAGCTGGTGGAGGTGGCGCGGCGCGGGGGCGCGCCGGTCAACCTGAACGCGCGCTCGCACGGCGGCTACACGCCGCTGCACCTGGCGGCGCTGCACGGCCACGAGGACGCCGCGGTGCTGCTGGTGGGCCTGGGCGCGCAGGTGCACGTGCGCGACCACAGCGGGCGGCGGGCCTACCAGTACCTGCCGCCGGACGCCACCTACGCGCTGCGCCGCCTCCTGGGCGACCCCGGCCTGCCCGGCTCCGCCGAGCCCGCCACGATCGGCGGGGGCAGTCTTGCGGCACGGCGCCCCGTCCAGGTGGCCGCCACCATCCTAAGCTCCACCACGAGCGCGTTTCTGGGCGTCCTGGCCGACGACCTGATGCTCCAGGACCTGGCTCGAGGCCTGAGGAAGTCGAGCTCGGGCTCCTTCACCAAGTTCTTGGGGGCCTCGCCCATAGCTCCCCGTAAAAAGACGAAGGGCCGCGGCGGCGGGCCGGCCTTCCCGGAGATCTCTCGTCGATCCGCTCCGGTGCCCTTCCCGGGTCTAATGCCCAGCCTGCCCCCCGCCACCTGACAGTCGCCGAGGCTCCGACTCGGTTGATCTAGCTGGGCCTGCCCCTTGCAGTCGACGCCTGCCCGCGGCGGCGGCCCGGCACTTCCCACCCTGTCCGGCCTTGTTCACTGCAGTCTGTTTCACCGGGGGCGCCCACGCCTCCGGCTTCTGCTGAAGCTTCGCCTGTCTCGGAGCTGGGCTTCGAGATCTCAGTGAGTGTCCTATGGAGACCGCCAGAAGTCAGGATTGAACTCTGGGGAAGACTTGAAATTCAGGGTTAAAGGAGAAGGGGCAGCAGCTGGTCTGGCCCCAGAGCGAGCGAGCCCAGTGCCTCTGCTTCCGCGCACTGCCAAGCCAGGGCCAGTGGCAAGGGCCTCGTTCCGTGCTGTGTGAGGTCGGGTGGTTGGCCAGCTCTAAGATGCCAGTGGTTTTGTAATTTGATGTTTTTATCCTGTTTTTAAATTGAAATGAGGTAAATTGAAATGACTTTTATAATAACCTTGTGAAATTATATTTTTTCCATTTTCTAGGCAGAATGCTTAGACATTTTGGTCTTTGGTAAAGATTTTGAAATTCCATTAAAAAAAAAAACAACTAATGATCAGCATCTCAAAGAAATTGCCCTGGATGGTATGGCTCAGTGGGCTGAGCGGTGTCCTGCGAAGCAAAAGGTCACCATCAGGGCGCATGCGTGGGTTGCGGCCCAGGTCCCAGCCGGGGCTTGCAAGAGGCAACCAATCCATGTTTCTCTCCCTCCCTATCTCCCTCCTTTCCCCTATCTCTATAAACAAACAAATAATAATAAATAAAATCTTTTTTAAAAATCTAAAAGAAATTAGCCCCAATCAACAAAACCTTTAAACATTTATCTACCTCATTTTAGGCAATGAAGGTCGCAGAGAATCTTGGACACAGAACATGATCATTGCAAATGGAATTAATTTTACTGGTACTGTGAATGCTAAATATTGGAAACAAGTGCATCTTGGGAGAAAAGGCAATTTAACAAGAGAAACGAGACATTTGGACAGATACTTTTAATTAGTGGTTTTCTTTATGGTGGGATATAAACACATGTGTTTGGCATTGGTGGATGGCATTTTGATTTGGCATGAATATCTCATTATTTTAAGTGTGTTTATGTGAATTGCACTATCATACCATGTTTCTGAATCTGTGGGTTTTTTTTTCAATCTGGCTGAGCCTTCCAATAATGTAGGTAAATATTCCAAGTTGGACTACCACTGAAAAAAAGTTATAGCATCCCTCTAGAAAAATAACTAGTAAAATAGTACTGGATACAATTAAGGAGCAACTATTTTATATGAAAGTTCTGTACAAGTAGAAAGGACACGATATCCACTTTGAAAAGTCATCTGAAAGCCAACACTTTATTCCAAAATAGTAGATTCAGAATCTCTTTGCTCAGTGACCTTAGAGGGTTGACTGCTGGGGCCTTTGCTTCTCTGTAATTGAGAAGGTTCGTAGGTATTGCCAAGATCTCCCAGGTTCAAGGCAGTGTAATTCTAATGGCTCTTCCTCTGTTTTAAAGATGTGAAATCTATTTGCTCAGCCTTTTTTTTTTTTTTTATGTCATACGGTGGTGATGCCCTGCTTTCGCAAATTGTGTTTGCATGTCATTGGTTATATCAAATGGCTTCTGTGGCCCGGGGCAGTGGGGCGCCCCACCACAGACCAGCACATGTATTATCAGTGAGGCCTCTGAAATCATTTCAGGTACAAATAAAATGTTCTGATTCAAGCAATGAAATAAACAATCTCGCGTATTGTTTCTGTTTGTGTGATGATGTACTTTCCCTCAGTCTTCTACGGCTCTTGCCACTGTATTGTTTTAATGATTTTTCCTTTTTATTGACTTTATCGGGGTGACACTGATTAACAAAACTACGCAGGTTCCAGGTGCACAATTCCACAACACATCATCTGTGTACTGTGTGTTCACCAGCCCAAGTCAAGTCTCCTTTCATCACCACTGATCCCCCCAGACCTTCTTCCACCTTCCCACACTCCCTTTGCCACTGTATTTGTCTTTCCTTCTCCTTTAATTTACTTAATTTTTTCCTTCTCTCTTCATCCTTCTTCTGCCACTTTCAAGCATTCTGTCATTGAAAGAGTTTGAATAACTCTGCAGAACCAAAGGAGTGGACCATGCATGGCTCTAGTAGGCAAAACTGCAGGTGAATGTAAGCTCTAGTCTGACCCTTCCCGCCTTCCTCGCCTGGAACTCTAGCTAAGATGCATACATCATTTTAAAATGCAAATGAAATCTTCTGCCTCTACAGGAAAACTGTGGGAGGCAATAATCATAGCAATCCGAGTGGCTGAAAGACTAAAGGCAATAAAATATTAGAGATTTCCCACGGTAAAAGAGTGGCTTGACTTGACTAAGGTAGGTAACAAAGGTCACGAGCAGCCATGACACACCTTGAGAAAGATCAAACTCTAAACCAGCAGGGTAGTGATAACAATAACTAGTGTTTACTGAATGCTTGACTCGGGTGGGGGGGGAGGGGGCTCCTCAAACCAGAAAAATCTTCCTGTTGCAAAGGGTGTGGTGGGAGCCTTCTAGATGAGGTAACACATGGGGCAGGAGTTTTGAACCGATAACCCTAAAGTTCAGGCGTTAGAAACCAGCGCTTTTTCATCGCAGGCCAAGACTTTCTGAAACTATAAGGTAAGTCAGCAGGAAATTGTGGATGGAAGTGCATAACGGAAAGTTTTCAAGAACCCTATACTGCCTAGCAGGAGGTACACCCGTGGAAGGGTATTTCCAACTGACCCACGCAAGAATGACTGTGTGTAAGTTAAGGCCACTGAGCTGGTTAGAATTTTCACAGGGACGAGAATCGCTCCTTTTAATGGGGAGAATTGTTGATGTACAGCGGATGCCTGAGCCCCGGCCAGAGCGGGCTTTTTATAAATTCTCACATTTCCTTCACAGAAGGTTGGAAGTTGCGGTTGAGCGTGTCCCACTTACTAATGGAGACCGAGGCGTGGGCGATGCTCGCGTGGCCTGTGCTCTTTACGCGCCAGGTGCGGCTCTGTAGGCTTTGCAGGTACTGGCCACCACCTTAAACGCAAGCACTGTCAGCTTCTTGATGTTAAAGTGAGGAAACCGAGGCCTGGAGAAATCGTTGGTGACTTGCTCAGGCCGCACAGCCCGGCAAGCGCCGAGCCGGCATTGCATCCGGCGCCCTTCCCATGGCCGTGCGCTGCTGCCGACACTCACGGTGGTCTCAGCCTCAGCCCTTCACTCATTGAGCGCCCTCGGGCGAGTCACCCAGTTCCCTGATGCCGTCTCCCTTTTCTGTGGGGCAGAAGACTGGCAGTACCCACCCTGCAGACCGTGGGGGGAGGGGCGTGGGAAATGAGTAGGTAGAGCCGTCTACGAGCCGCAGGCCAACCTGAAATATTAGGAGGCGCGCCAAGCTGGGTCCACAGGGGCACCCAGCCACACCCCAAAGCGAAAAAGCTCAGACTGGTGCCTTTGCTGGCCCGTTCTTTTGCAATGTGAATAAATGCATTCGGGGGGGGGGGAACAACTTCACTAGGAAAAATGTATTCCCAAAAAAGGGGAATTATTCCATGTTCTTTACTTAATGCGCATGTAGTTAAAATAGAAATAAAAATCTTTCTTAATTCACACTCCTGTGGAATCCCTACCCCAACCTCCCGGAACTGCACAGTCGCGGCGCAGCCCTCAGTGCACAGTGACAAGGCAGGAGCACCCAGGACACAAATTCTCCCCTCGTTTGGGCCTTTTCCTGGGAGAAATTATTGGACCGATTAAAAATGTTTGCTTAGATAAACTCTATTTGCTTTCCAGGGAGCTTTTAGCTGTGAACTGGCCTCAGTATTCGGAACTGCCACACCTCTGGCCTTGAACCTTGAAGCAGAGGTGGCCTCGGGTGTGACTATTGGGAAGAGGTAGAGAGACAGACAGACAGACAGACAACGGGTAGGTGAGCGCAGACCTCTCTTCCTGAAAAACAGTCCTCGTAGGAAGTTGACGCTGATTTAAACTTCGGAGACGACAGGCAAACCGCCCGACGTGACCTTCTAAACTGTAGTGGAGCTGCGACGACTGCAGGGCGGTTGACAAGGGCGCGTTAGAGCGACTGCCTCCCCACCCCCGCCCCCAGCCTCCGGGTTGGCGCCCCCCCTCTTGGGTCCTCAGCTACAGGTGACCTAAATTCCCTCTTAAGCTTCCGATCTGCAAGTGGGGAGCAGCACCGCGGTTGGCAGCGGCGAGGATCCCGGGGTTTTTGCCGCTCCGGGAGGTGCACGCGTGGTGCGCGCGGCCGGCTGTTCACCCGCACGGAGCGCCGCTCTCGGGCACGCGGAACACTGTTCCCTATTCCGTTCCCAATCTGCAGTCTGCAGGCAAAAGTACACTAATTACATCCACTCTACCAGCAGCAACGAGGGCGGATGAGGCAAGCCGCGGAGGCGGTCCCAGGGCTGCCTGTTGCCCAGCAACAGCCCCAGCTTCAGCCGGCCCCGGGCACAGCGCGGTGCAGCGGGGGCAGGGCAGGCAGGCGGGGCTCGGGGGCGCCGGCGGCTTCAGGGGGTGGGGCCAGAAACCCCAACCCAGACCCCTGAGTCCCTGTGTTCCAGCCTGGGGTGGGACTAAGTAAGGCTCTCTTAGATACTGATACTGGAGATAGCAACCCCGGCTTCCCTCCTCCTCACTTCTCATTAACCAGCAACCAAGGAAAGCGAGCCAGCCTTCCCAGGGCTGCCTAACTAGATTTGCTTTCCGCCTGAGGCAGAAGGGCCCAGCCCCAGCCTTCAGGCTCAGCGGGGACACTGCTCTGCAGGGCGAGGCAAAGTCCCAGTGGCTAGGGCAGAGGGCCTGGTAGCTGCGGGGGGCTGCAGGTGGTCAAGTACAGGTAGCAGCTTACATCGTGAGAACAGTGCCCTCTGCTGGCAGTGTCCGGAGGGCGAAATTCACGGGGTTCCCAGGCCCTGCACGTCTTGGTCTGTGGTACCAACACGAAATACCTATGGTGAGCTCACTCTTGCCGTCTGAAGGAATAACGGAGTGGGAGGGAAATGCACTGGGGGAGGAAGGAGACAGAGGCCACATGAAAGGACAGGCACAGCTGGTGTCCACCTACTTTGGTGGCTCCCCTGATGTGGTAGGGACAAGCAAAGAAGCCTCGTATTTCCCCAACTCAGCACAGAAGAAAAGGGCAATGTAGCCCCCCTGGCCCATCCTGGCCTGGTAGTGCCTTGTCTGGAATACACCGTTTCCACCGGCCTGGGGGACCCCGTTAAGTGTCTCCCTAAGAATATCACAACCAGAGAATGCAATGGGCCTGTACAGGCCCAAAGGCAGAAATAAGCAGATTCCATCCAGAACGCAGCCTGAGCCAGCTGCCCGGCCGGACTGAGGGCCTTGGAGCAGAGGCCCTGCCCAGTGCTCAAAGCCTAATGTTTGAACCCGCAACTGCCTCGGCAGGAGCCCCATGTGTTTTTTATAAAATGGCACAATGTGAGCATTGTTCTGTGCTCAATAGCACGACTGTTATGACGAATGCTTTTGCTATGAATACGACCATTTAAAATTCCCAGCCAGTTGCACTTGGTGACAACACGAATCAGAAGACAAGCCCAGAAACAGAGATTTCTCACTTTGGGGTCAGTTGGCTTTAAATACACACACACATGCCTTTAATGTGCCCAAGTTCCAAAAATACGCCGCGCCTTTGCGAGGACAATGTTCTCCTTGGTGCTTGCAGTTATAAATACTAACGCTGATTTTCACGTGTATATCTGAGAACCTGACATTGATTCTGTGTATACAGGGCTGATGCACAAACAGAGGGGGGTGTGTGTCCTAGGCTTCAGCCCCTAACTCCTCCTTCCCAACCCCAACCCACCCCCAGATGGCGCCTCTGGCACAGCCCGGCTGCCTCTCCGGGCCCTCAGCCCTCACCTGACAGGTCTCCACGGCCCCCAGGCCTCACCCGCTCCCACCCCCAAATGCCCTCCTCAAACCCGCCTGACCCAGTGCAGTCTCCAAAGGAGAGCAGGATAAACTCAAGTTTGGTAACACAATTGGAAGAGGAAGAAAGTTCTTGGAATGAACGTCCCCAAATGCCCACGTATACTGGGCATTTGTCAGGGTTCTTAGGCAGCAAAGCATCTGAACCCATTTTCCATTGGTGACTTTATCCATTGAGTCTGGGAGGCAGTACCCCACTTCCACTGCAGAGGTTGGGGGCTTGGGTAAACCCAGTGAAGGAGGCCTGGACTTGGCCAACGAGGCCTGGTGTTGGTAGTGACGCAGTCCCCAGAACAGTTAGGGATCACTGGCGGCAATGGAGTTGGGGGCCCAGCACCCCCCTGGTCCCAGCTATTTTGAAACCTGGTTCCTCATATGGTTCCCCAGCCTTCCAGCGACGTCCAGACCTCCCTGACACCTCCAACAAATCCCTCCTTTGCCCTCACCGGGGAGGGTTGGCGTCTGTAACCAGTGACCGACATTCCAGGTGACACACACACTCCTCACAGTTTTTATTGAAGGAAAAGAGGCTGTTCTGCATCTTAAGTTGAGATTCTGCTTGTCTCCATTCCCTCCAGCCCACGTGGGCCAACCCTCTCTCTCATCACAAGAAGGGGGAATACTGCAGTTTATAAAATCCATAAATTAATTTCCAAATAATCCATAAGACTTGGGCGAGGCCACATGACAACACTTGGAAGAAGTATCCTGGGAGGGCCCAGCTTGGGTCACCCCCACCCCAGGGGAAAGCACCCAACAAGCCAGTGTCACCCCAGCAGTGCCAGGAACGGCAGGGGTAATGCGCCCCACCTCCACACTGTCGCTAAATAAGCAGGGCCCGGAGGGGAGGTTTATGGAGAGGCTGGGTCCCTGGTGGGGAGGCCAGCCTGGGAGATGAGGGTCGATGGCCAAGGCTGTTCCTGACAGCATCCAGTTGGTCCTGAAGGAGCCGGACACGCTCGTCCAAGCTGCGCTGCTGGGCCAGGACGGCGGCCTTGCCGGCCAGGAGGGCACAGTAGGCGTGCAGCTCCCCAGCTGGCAGTGCCCGCACCAGAACCTCACGCAGGGCCCGCTCGCGCCGCGCCACATGCTCCTTCAGCTCCCTGGCATCCTCCTGCTGTCGCTGCAGGAGCCTGAGACGCTGCAACAGAGAGGCCTGGCGCCCACAGGGAGAGGCGCTGTGAGTGGGGCGGGTGCGCCCCGCTGCCCCACTCTCACACAGCCTGAACCCTTTACCTGCTCCTCAGGGTCGCTGTCTGCCCCTGTCCGGGCCAGGGCCAGGTGCACTCGGGCCAGGCGACTGCCCAGTAGCAGCAGGAGGCCAAGCACGCGCTCTAGGTCGGCCATGAACCGGCTGAACCGCTCTAGGTCACGGGGTGCACAGGCCTGGCCTACCGCGGCCTCCAGCGCAGCCCTGCTCCTGGCCCAGGTCTGGGCTGCCTTCTGCAGCTGCTCCTGCTCAGTCTGAAGGTTCTCCAGCATCTTTTGGAGGAGGTCCGCTAGCTCCACCTGCAGGGAGGGCACGGGTACTTAAAGCTAGGGCCAGGCCCATGACCTCTTCGGCCAAATTCCTGCCTTGTCCCACCCAGCTTCCACCAGCCCCACCACACTCACTTTCTTAGCGTGGATGCTGCTATTTGGCTCTCGGAGACCCTGGCCACTCGGACATGGCTGGTCAGGCACAGCATGGGTGGTAAGGTTTTCAAGCCTTGTTTCTTCCTGAGAAGTAGGCAGGAGCTGGATGCATCTAGAGAGGTGGGGCCTGGGGATAAAACCAGAGCTCCCTGGGTAGTCCTGCCCCAGGCTGCAGGGGCTTAGAATCTCCCGAGTCCCTGGCGCCCCTCGCTCACCCCGGCTCAGAAGTCCCAGAAGCCTCCTCTCCAGCCTTGCCACAGGCTGGCCTCATGGCGGCCCAGACCTCAGCCAGGGGAATCAGTCCATCCAGCAGATCCAGAGGGGGCTCTGGGTTGGGGCAGAAGGTGAGAGTGTCACTCAGAGAAGGATCCAGTCTGGCCAGCTCCTGAACCAGCTCCTCCAAGCGGGCACTGGGCCACATAGGTCGGGGACCAGGCTGGCCAGTGCCCCAAGCCAGGGCCGCATCATCACGAGGCCCTTGGGTCTCATCGCCTGGTGGTCCCAGGACATCTGCTGGGAGAGGCTGGAGAGGGTCGGTCTCTGCAGCTGCAGGAAAGTCAGTCGTCAGCAGCCCAGTGCAGTCTGTGGTTGGGATGTTGCCATCTGCAGTCCCAGCGGGGCTACAGCATGTGGGTCTGGAGATGCCCACACGGCCGTCCACCCCCTGCCAGCAGGCGTCTGCTCCTGCGGTCTCTGGGCACTCATGGAAGGGGCGCTCTGGGGGGATGGCAGCCCGGTTAGGCCTTTGGCTCAAGCCAGCTCCACACAGCAAGTCAGAGGCATGGACACTGGAAATGGAAGAGACACTGAAGTGGAAAAAGCTCTGGCTGAAGACCAGGGGTGGTCTCCCAGGACCACGGGTCCTCACCCCATCTCCGGGGCTCCCGGGCTCCCAGGCTGCATCACAGACAGGGCTGTGCGCCCCTGAAGCATTCTGTATCTATGCATGGGAAGTGGGTGCCTCCCTCCGCCTGGAAGCCAAAGAGAACTCACCTGGCTGGGAGCCCTGGGCGTGCATGGGAGTATGGAGGTGATTTCATTCTGACGGGCAGGGCTTCTTCCAAGAAGACATCATCGTCGTCGGGAAGGAGGGGGAGCCGGGCAGACGGGACCCTGTGCTCGCTGTCAGTGGGACTGCTCTGGGGACCCGCTGCAGGACACGCCACTGTGGCAGCTTCCCTCTGAGTCGGGAACCTGGAGGCAGAGACCCCACACTGACCACAGCGAACCGGAAGGAAGGATTTGGTTTGCAAAAGACAGCATCGGAAGGCCGAGGATGAGGGTAGGTGCCAGGCTCTTTGCTCTCTCGGGCAAGAGCTATGAGAGCCCCGCCTCCCAGACGGGTCCGTGCCTCTCACCTGGGGCGTCTGGTCTGGAGTAACGGTCTGGGAGGGTCCGCTCCTTGAGGAACAGCCTGGAAAGGCAAAAAGGTCGGTGAAATGCGGCTCAAGTTTCCAGTCTCCCAGGAGCCTCCACTTTCCTTCCATACCTGGGTAACCGGCGCGGCCGCTCCGGGACCTCCCCAGGGACCCAAAGCTTCCCCTGAAGCGCTCCGACTCCTGCGGGTGGGCCTGTAGGCGTCGTCCAGCTTCAAGGACCGGGTTTCTGGCTCCCCCGTGCCTCGGGGTGGCCACCTGATCGCGTGACCTTCGAACTCTGCCGACGCCCGATGCTGCAATTCCTGGGGCTCGCGTCCGGCTCGGCCAAAGCTGAAGCGGACCCCACCCGAGCACCCCGCAGCCGTCCCACCGCCGCGGCCCACGCGATCCAGCTTTCCTGGCTCGGAGAAGCACCACTTCTGCTGCTGGTTGGCGAGGCGGCCCGGGCCGGCGGTTCCTGGCACGAGGACTCCGGAGCGCGCCGGTTCCCCCTCGCCGCCCGGGTGGCCGAGCGAAGCGGAGCGCGGGTGCACCGTCGGGGGCCGCGTGGGAGCCACGGGCCGCAGGCGGGCGGGCAGGCTCATGCGGAGCTCCTTGCGCTGGAAGGACGTCTCCCGGAGGACGCGCCGCTGCGCGCCCTGCAGGCGCTGGCGGTAGGCGGCCCGTGAGGCCGGAGGGCTAGGCGGCTCGGCGGCGCGCGCCGCGGCCTCCGCCTCGGCCGCCAGCGCGTACAGCAGGGGGGTGGCCTGCCTGCTGAGCACCCCCGGGGCCCCCTGCAACTGCGGGGAACACGGCCCACTGCGGACGGCGGCGGCGGGCCGGGGCTGCGGGGAGGTGCGCAGGGCGGCGGCGGGCGGGGCGGGCGCCGGGCCGCCCCACACCAGGCGCACGTAGTCCCAGTCCAGGTACGGAAGGAGGTCGGCGCCCGGGGACGGCGTGCGCGGCTCGGCGCCGCCCGAGGCCGCGGAAAAGGAGCCGTAGGCGGAGTCGGCGCGCCCGGACAGCCGCCGCAGGTCCAGGCTGTGCGTGGACGAGGCTGAGGAGGCGCGGTCTCGCCCCGGACCCAGGGCCTCCATGGCTGCGCGGTTGAGCGCTGGGCAGACTAGCTCCGCGGGGCCTTCGAGAACACAGACGGCGTGATGCGTGAAAAGTTCGGAGCAAGAGAAGAGGCCGCTTACACTTGCCCTCTCTAGTCACACTGTCTCAAGCGCCGGCATTACCCCCAGTTCGGGGATGGCATGGGCAAGAGGACCAGCCCCAGGGAGCTGTTCTGGAGGTGGAGGGCCCCGGCTCAGGGCAAGGAATTGGCCCCAGGCCCTCTCCAGGCCGGGGCCCTAGAGGTTGGCACCCCCTGGAGCGCCGAGAATGCACCCACGCTCCTTCCCTCCCCAGCCCCGTCCCACCCTGGCCGCTTCCTGGCGCTTTGTTAGCTTCTCCGTGTGATCTTTCCCGGACGAACAATGGTCCAGAACGTTCTGAGATCACTGGGGAGCCAAGAAAGGGGCGGGGAGGACCCGGGTCAGGTGGCAGGGCAGCTTCACAGCCGTCCTTCCTCCAGGCCTGCGCGATTTATATAAATATTGATCTTGCTCCTCCCGACTGCTATCTGCTCCTCACAGAGGAGGACGCTGAGGCTCTGAGGGGAAATGGTTTGCCCAGGGGCACACAGCTGGTCGGAGGCAGAGCCCTGCCTGGAACCCGGGCCTGCCTCCAACCCTACTGCGGCCAGAATCAATTTCCCAGAAGCAAACTCTGCTGAAAGCCAGGCCCCCTACCCCTTACCCCACCTGCCCGGGAGTCCCTCAGCTGCCTGAAGCCTCTGACCACCCCGAACTCCACTGTGGGAAACAATGGCCCTCGCCTTCCCCCAAACTATCTGCAGGCTCGAGAATAACTCGGTCCCTGCTTCCAGAGACTGCCTTTTGTCTGGGACCCACAGGCTCTCCCACTCTGTCCTGCTACTCTTGCTGCTCCAACAGGGCTCAGCTTAGAGGCCTCCTGACCTGCTGGGCTCCCCACAGTGTCCTGAATTCCCCTCACAGCCCTCGTCACCCTGCTTGTCATTGTCGGCTTGCCTGTGATTCCTTCTTCCCAGTCCCACCTGGGGCCTGAAGACAGGCCCCAAGCTCCATGTCTCTGGACCCTCGTGTACCCAGCCTGAAGTCAATGGCAAAAAAATCTGTGTTGAGTGGCAAGCGAAAGAGCCAGCTTGTAAGGAGCAGATGAGGGAGGACAGAAGAGACAGAAGCCAAGGAGCCCTAATTGTCTTTTCTGGGGAAGGGCGCAGACAGCGCGCTTCGTCAGGAACCAAACACAGCAGGCGAGCACAGCTGGGAGCAGGACACGCCAGGAATCTACACTTCCCGATGCAGGGGTGAGTGCGGGGGTTGGGCGCAGGAGTTGGGTGGGTGCACCTGGGTCAGGGGTAAGAGCAGTTTTGAGTCTCTGGAAATTGGGGCTCCTGCTGGGCTTTGGGGACTCGGGAGCAGGGTTTGCCTTCCCTGAGCTGCTAGCCACTTGGTGGGGGCTGCAGAGGAGGGTGCCCCCTCCCCCTGCTGGTGTAGGAAGGGAAAAGCAGGCTTATCTGAACCCCCTAGACACTGTTTGGAGCTCAGGATTACCCACCACCCACTTCCCTGAGACCCCACATGCTACAGATTGCTGGCCAGGGCAGGGAGGGAGGTCAGTGGTGAGAGGATATGACGGCATTTCCTAAAAGGGGGAGGCTGCACCTGCAGTGTTCCCTGGAGGGCCTCTCAGCGGACCCTCTTGGGGCTGCAGCATCTTGACCTCACCCACCTGGAGGCATCTTCATGCCCACGGAGCCCATGGCCTCGCCCTGCAGCTGGGGCTTCCCACAGAGGCTTGGGGGCCTCTTTTGCAAAGTGTCTCCCCTCTCTGGACTCCAGGAGGACAAGCTACTCTGAGCAGTGTCCCTGGCCCATGAGGACAGGCACCTCCTCCAAGAAACTCATCCTAGCCGCCCGGCCCTAGTCCTCTCTCATCCTGCCCGTCTGGGCCCAGCCTGGGAGCACTGCTCTCCCTGGCTCCTGCCACCCACGCCTGCCCGTGTCAGCTGGCTGGCTGCATCTACAGGCATCTCACATTCACAGATGCTCCCCCCAAAAAGGCCTAGAAAGTTCTATCTTAGTTATGAGTCACTGCGTTGACAAAAGAACTCTCAGTCCACCAAATTAAAACAGCTTGAATGGATAATAAAAACGTGGCACATATTTTCCGATGGCTCTGAACTTGGCTTGGGATGCTTCTACAGTGGAGGACCCAGCAGGCTGCTACCCATGCAGGATGCTCACACCTTTGCAAGCCTGCTATGCCAGGAGGGCCTGGCTGCTTTACTGTTTTGGGGCCTCAGCACAAACAGTAAGGAGTTTCCACACTTGTCTGGCTGCAGGGAGGCACAGCCCAAGAGACCAGCAGGGGTGTTCCTGTCAACCAGGGGCTGGGCTGCAGGGCTGGGCAGGGCTGCAGGGCAGGGCTGCAGGGCAGGGCTGCAGGGCAGGGCTGCAGGGCAGGCCAGAGGCTGCAGCTCAAAGAGCTCTTTTGCCAAAGCCTCCCCAGAGCAGTGGGGGCAGCGTGGACTCCCTGCCAGAAGACCACCAGATTGGGGTCCCTTGGGGGTGGGGGAGGGCATGTGCATTAAAGTGTCACCTGAAGGAAAGAGCAAGAGAGGAAAGAGAGAAGGATGACTTCAGCGTGCAGAGCTGGGGGCGGGGAGGTGGCGGTGCCAGGCTCAGGGAGGCGGAAGCCGACTCAGACCAACCCCAGGTCCAGTGCCCATTCAGCCTGGGGCCTGTGGGCTTGGTGGTGCCTGCCGCAGGTCCCGCAGCGGACCCAGGTTTTCAGTTAGGGGTTGTTGGGAAAATCCACGAAGGCAGCTTCCGGTGGGTGAAACTAAAGCAGGTCCAGGTGAGGCGACCAGAAAGGTGGACAAACTCACAGGATCAGCAACAGTCAAAGCCCCCCTCACATGCGACCTCACTAGAGAGGTTGTCCTGGCCACCCCTCCTGGCTGGCCTTCTTCTCAGTGAGTACCAGGCTCACTGAGGGGACACTCCTGCAAGGCCCTCTCCCTGCCAGACTGAGTTTCTGGGTCCCGGGCTGCGTCTTGAACCCAAGCACTCAAGACCAGGTCTGGACAGGCAGCCGTTCTGGAAGGGCCCAGGACTCTCCCAGTCCCTAGTCCCCAGTGACGCCCCCGCCATTCTCCCAGAGCCTCTCGCTCAGTGCAGCGCAGGAAATCCGGGCGATGGTGGCACCAGGGGTAGTAGGCCATGGTGTGCACGGATCACCTACCTGAGGCTTCAAGCTCTGAGAGTCGGGCACTCGAGAGAGGAGAGAGGCGCAGGAGCGGCGGCCGCAGGGGGCGGCAGAGTTACGCGGTGCGGCGGATCGGGGTCGAGGGGACGCTGGGAGGGTGCTCGGCTGCGGGCGGGCTCATTTCTCCGCCTTTCCTGTTGGGTTCGCCGTCGGGGAGCACTCGGAACGCGTGCTGGGGGGCAGCGCAATCATGGGTGGGAAAGGCCCGGGTTCTCCAGCCGCCTGAGGGGCGGGAGCGCAGGGTTGTGGAGTAAGACCCTCCGCGGTCTTGGGCCACCCAAGCGTTCCACCCCCGTCACCCCGCACCCCAAGCGGCTCCCGCCTCTTGGCGGGTCTCGTCCCCGCCCCCAGCCTTCTGGGAAGAGCATCGGTGCACAGGGCCCCCCAGACGCGGGGAATCCACACCTCGGCACCCAGTGTGGCACCGACTGCCCGCAACCCCCCTGGGCCCCGGCCCTCCTCGCCGTGGGGCTCGCCCTGCACGCTCCAGGGAAGCGGGGCGCCGACCCGCTGCCGCGCCGCGTACCTGAGCTCCAGCCCGAGAGGTGCTTCTGGGCGCCTGCGGCTCCGTGACATCAGAGCCTCGGGCTCCAGCTCCGGACCCCACCTCCCGGCTCCGGTCGCTGCAGGGGAGGCGCCACGTCCGGCCACCGGGGGCGGGAGCGCGAAGCGGCGGGCTGCCCGCGAGCCGCCCGCCCCTTCGTAGTGTCTGAACGTACTGGCCCTGGGCTCAGGGACGGACACTAGCTCTTCGTCGGGCGCAGGCCTCTCGCTCTGAGCCGGAGACGCAGGGGCGTTGCGGGAGGAAGGGCAGCCACCGCGCTGGCCTGCCCGCTTCATCAGCGCCTGGGGTGCGCGGGCCAGATCCCTGCCACCCCCCACCCCGTCCACGGCCCCTCTGGGGGAGGGGCGCCCAGGCCAGGCCCCAAGGCCTCGGGACGGCCACCCCTTTCCTTTCAAGCATGGCCAAGAAAACAGACCCGACTAGGGCTCTTCCTGTGTCCCTGAGCGCCATTCGGCTTGGGGGTCACGCACCGCTGACCAGCTCTGCAGAGGCCCCATTCCCAAAACTCTTCCCGCTTTTTGATTCCCACCGTGATTCTTCCACCCGGCTTTACCCGCCTTTCTTTCCGTTCCTTTTACCACCCTGCATTGTCTAGGCCCTCCTGGCCAGCCGCCTGGGCCAGAGGGGGACTGCCGACTTGTGTGTCCACTCCCGCTGCCCCGGGTGCGTCCTTCAGGTGCTGGACATAGGCGGGCGCCCTATGGCCTGGGCAGGGGTCACAGGCTGGACCAGTCTGGCTCTCAAGGTCCTGCCTTTGGGCACCTCTAGCTTCAAAGTGCACTCTGCTGCCTCCGCCACTCTACCCCCGGCCTCCTCCCCCATTGTCCTGTCTCTCCCACCCCCACTGTGCACACCACTATCCTATGAATCCGGGCTCTGCCAAGAAATGCTCAGACCTTGGAAGGGGGCCGGGGGCCCCTTCAGCTCTCAGGTCTCTGCTCTCGGTGTGGGCTGCCCTCACGCTCCCTCAGAATCACGTGCCTGGGGGCGGCCCATGTCCCTCATCCGTGCATGCCTAGGTGGTAAGGTTTGTTGGTGGGAATAACTGGGACCCAGAACTCAGCCCGGGGGCAGGGCTGCTTGCTGCTTTCTGGGAGCCTAGAGATCTCTGACTTCTTGGCTCTCCTAATGGAGGCAGCAGGCGACTGAGCTTGGATTCTGGTTGGTGCCCTTCCAGCTCTGCTGCTGCTTCCAGCGACATCCTGACCCAGCCATCTGCTTCGGCCGCAGCTGGAGCGCAGCGCGGACACGACAGCTCAGACCCTCTGGGCTTCGAGGGCCTGCCCTTTGAAGACCCTGATTCACGAGGTTGGTCTGATGTGACAATGGTTTGAATGCTAAAGACCACGTCTCTGCTGCCAGACCCGGCGCTAAGTGCTTCACTTAGTTATTCCTGAGAGGTGGGTGTCATTATGACCCATTTTACAAGTGAGAAAACAGAGGCTTAGGGAGATTAAATATCTTGTCAAGGTCAAGTAGCTCCTAATCAGTAGAGGCAAATTTTGACCTCATGCTGGCTGATTCCCAAGGCCATTTGCACTTGACCAGAGGAAAGAACGGCAATATATGGCTGGCACACACCTTCCTAGGAGAGCAGGATTTGAACCTCAGACTGAGCAGGACAAGGAAGTGAGCAGCAGCAAGACCCCAGTCATGGCGTCCGGCTCTGTGTGTGTCCTCAACAGTTCAACACCGGCCTGGCCTGCGTCGTATCTGGTTTCCAGTGGTTTATTCGAAGGGGCTTGCAAAACATTTCTTCCTGTAGGTACCTTTGCAAGAGGTTCTGCCCCTTCATTTTTTTATTTGAAATTATACCTTGGGGCTCATTCAATATCAGTTCATACATTGTATCATTTTTCTAAACAGGTGCATGGTCATTCATTGCATGGACACAAATAAATTGAATTATTTAACCCAATCCCCGACTGATGGGCACTTAGGTTAATCTAGTCATTTGCTGTTTCCAATTCTGTAGTGAATACCTTTCGCTCACCTTTGTCAGTTTGTAAGGCAAGTTCCTAACATGAATCGGGAGTGGATCCTCTAGGTCGGCCACCCCAGTCCTCAAAATAATCAGCAAAATGACTGTGAATGTGTAAGCCACTGAGTTTTGGGGTAGTTTGCTACACAGTAAGAGTGTGTGTACACTTCCAGTTTGGGTGGCTATTCCCAAATTTCTTACCAAGAAGGTTCCCATTTACAGTTTCATCAATGTATGAGAATCCCTGTTTTCCCACAGCCTTATTAACACAGCGCATTAGCAAACCTCTGATCTCTGAAACCTGAAAGGTTAAAATGTTATCTCACTGCCTTAATTTCCTTTTTAAAAAAAATAAAATCACACACACTTTTGTACATTTAAAAGCCATTTACATTAATTTCTGTGATGTGTCCATTTCCTTAGCCTATTTTTTTTTTATTGGATTAGTCTTTTTTCTCATCAATTTGTAAAATCTCTTTATATGTTAAGGCAATTAACATTTCCCCCCACGTGTGGCCAATATTTTCCCGAGTTCACATCTTTTTACTTTGTGGTAGTGGTGAATCTATACCCCGTGGTTGAAGCAGCTATATCTCTCTTTTCGACGGCAGCTACTCGGCTGTCTTAGTAATTCAGAGATGGTCACATACGGCTGAAGTCCATCAGAGGCCAGAAATCTTTCCATGAAATCTATTGTCTATTTTCAGATATACAACAGCATGAATCATTGCTTATACACAAACATCTACTTAAATCCTAAATGTTCCCTTGGGGCGAGTTTGTTTGCTTTCTAACTGTGCACTGAGTTCGCCACATTGCTCCGAGGACAGGCTTTGCAGAAAGGCAGCCACAGGGAGAAGGCGCAGGGAGCATGGGGCTCCCCATCTCCTGCGGGGGCTTCTGACCCGCAGGATCGCTGGGCCCCGCTGGGCAAGGACTGGTTGTTCTGGGGATCGAACCCAAGTTCCTTTTCGGGTCCGCAGGTCCTGGAAAGGAATGTTGGGCTGTCACACTCTTATCGAGTGCAAATATACCCCCCCACAGACTCGGGGCGATACCCCAGCCTCTGTGTGCTCTGGTCACAGGAACAGCTTTTCTCCTCTAGCCTGGCCCCAAGCCCCGGGCCTGGGGCCATTCCATCCCCATGGGCTACTCTATTCAGACATCGTCCACACATCCCGGACAGCAGAGGACGAATGAATGAGGCAGACGGTCTCTCTGGCCCCCTCCCGTGCACCCAGGACAGAGAAGTAGAGGCCAGGTGAGCGTTTCTGCTTTGTGATTCGGGCCTCCTGGGCCCCGCCTGAAAAGGGTCCCTGATGTTTCATTTTGGTTCGAAGACACAGAATCTAACACAGGCTCTGCACACCCTCCCCTCCCCCCCTGCAGCCTTGCTCATTGCTCAGCGCGGATAGCAGCTGGCTCAAGGCCGGGAGTGAAGGCTGCCCCTTCGTGGTTCAGGCCTTTACACAGGTGTGGCAGGGTCTCCAGAGACCCCCACTCCTAAAAGTGCCCTTCTGTTTGAGCTGAACCTCCCAGGACTCTGTTGCCAGGGAGAAACCTGCTCAGCATTTTCAAGGGGAGAACTCCATCCTGGAGCCCCAGGCCCAGGGCTGCGAGGAGCAGTCGCCTGCGGGGCTTGGGCGGATCAGCTCATAGTGTGCCGCGAGCGTGTGGGGCGGAGTGCTGGTCAGTGGCACCGGAAGACAATGCGTGTCCGTAATGTTCACGGAGAAAATCTTGCTGATTTTTTAAAAATCCACACCCAGAGATATGTTTACTGATTTTAGAGAGGGGAGAGGAGAGAGAGAGAAAGAGAATGTGAGAGAAACCTCAATTGGTTGCCTCCTGTACATGCCCCAACAGGGGATCGAACATGCAACCTAGGCACACACCCTGACCCAGGATCAAACCCACAACCTTTCTGTGAATGGGGTGGCGCTCCAACTGAGTGAGCCACCGGGCCAGGGTGAAAACCCTGCTGATTGTAACCAGACTGTTTGGTCAGGTTCCCACACGGAAGAGACTTTATCTGTCATGGGCCATGTGTCTGTAGGACTCTTCCAGGAGTGAGTGGGACCACACACACACACACACACACACACACGCACACAATCTAGCTGGCAGCTCTTTGGACTTCAAGAGAAGCATCAAGAGACATTAAAACAAGATGAACAGAAAGTAACTTTTGACTTTCCTAGCAAATCACATAGCAAGATACAGGCAGGTTGTGTGTATTAGCTGGGTGATACCATAAGAATTTGGGGGCAAAAAGCAACCAGTAGCAGTTTCCCGGAAGGAGCAGAGAGGGATGCACACGGGCTCACGGGCCACGTGGTAAGTTTCACCATGCACAGCACACCCCGGGAAAGGGAGCCAGCGCAGGCAGAGAGCCCAAGCCCCACGCCTGGCGGGCCCACGCGTGAAGGCCGGTGGCTGCAGGACCCTGGAGACGGCCCCGCCTTCCGGAGCCTCCATCTCCTCATCCGAAAGCAGGGAAGTGAGATTCCCTCGCATATTCTCATACATGAGGTCATGAGGTCAGCTGTCATTGTTACTCCTGGAGTCAGCGTGGGGAGGGGAGGCAGTACAATCTTGACTAAACCCCAGCCCCATGTTCATCTCTAAGGACGGCCTGGCATACCAGCCACCTCCCGGGGGCGTTGCTGCCGCTGCCCGTAGCCTCTCTCCTAAACTCGCTCACTCCCCCCAGGGCCATCTGAATGCTCCTTCCCCGGGGACTCCCACACTGCACGGGTCTGGGGGATACAGAGCCCTCCCCCCACTGTGAAGCCAGCCCAGCCACAGGGGAGGCCTGAGCCCTGGGCTTGCCGCTTGTGCCTGGCAGTTCCTGTGGGGACAGAGAGAAGCAGGGACAGGTGAGAAACTACCGAGTCCTTGCCTCAGTGGTGTTCCTAACACGTGTCCTGCTCTCACTGCCCAGCCTCCTCTGGCTCCTGCCTGTTTTTGTAGCCTGGTCCTCCTGCCTTTGGGTCAGTTCCCTGAACCACCAGACTTCCTTCCAGTACATTCCTTTTGGAGTGAGTCAGGCGCAGCTGGTGGCTGTTATTTAAAACTAAGAAGTTTC